GATAAGGAAAGACCCAATAGGTTGCATGATTCTGTGGAACGGAGTGTCTGAGTTGAAATTGAAGGAGAGAAAGATGTATGTTNGTTTTACTGGCATTGCACAGAACATGATTGCTACAGTCCCAAGCAGAGATAAAGCCCAGATCGGAAACCGTACTGGCGGTCGCTAAGCGTCTTGTTCTGCTCCAGGTGGAAGCGGAGTTGATCAACAACAACAATTGATTCCACAACCTTCAAAATAACTGGTGTGAGAGAGAGATGGGGTAGTCGTTTGGAGTGGAGTGGTCGCCGCGTTTGGGGATTGGAAATATTTCTGATATTTTCCGTGGGGTTCGGAATATCTCAGAATTTAGATATAGACGGAATAAACGACGTAGGAGGGGAGCCAGTTCTGGGACACATATTTTGAGGACAATGGGAGGAATCCCGTCGGGTCCAGGTGGCTCATGTGGGTCCAGCGACAAGAAGATCTGACGTATTTTTCTGGTGGAAATGAGCGGTGTGAAAAGATGGTTGGCCGTTGGGTGTGTGCTGGGTTGGATGGGTGATTCGAAAAGGGTCGGATGATAAATCACCGGATGGTTTAATAATGGGTGGGAAGTTAGTGGAACAGAAGTTACGGGAGACTGCTTTAGCGATTGACCAGAACGTCCGGCTTCCGGAGGGATCGGTCGCCAATTGTGCTGCTTTGCACTCAAAAAAATGCTATTTAGCCTTCTGTATGATGGTTTTACATTTGTTACGCGCTAACAAGAACCATCGGCGGGAATTGGGGGAAGGTGACCGACGCCAGCGGCGGAACGCTGATTTCTTTTTACGAACAGTGAGACAACAGGCGTGGTTGAACCATTCTGGAGAAATAGGCTTGCCGGGTTTGGTGAAATGAGGAATAAATAGGTGCATGTTTTGCAAAAGAACCGTGGGGAAATTAGAAGCGGAGATGGAGATATCGGTGGAAGAGCAACATTCATTCCAGAGGTAGGAAGCCAGAAAGGTACGAAAGCTATACCAATCAGGGGGAAAATGTCATCAACATGTGCGTCTAGAATTGGGAGGAACATAAGAACAAATAATTCCGGTAGAGAGAGAAATGAGACAATGGTCCGATGAGCCTAGGGGAGGAACAGCAGCAACATTTGAAAACAATTGTGGGCTGGACGCGAGGACAGGATCGAGGGTATGAGAATGGTCGCCAGCACGGTCAGGGATACGGGTCGGCAAATCAATCAGTTGGTAGAGGCTGTTCAACAGGGCAAATGATTCTACTTCATGTCCAAAGGGCGATGTCCCTGAAGAGTGTAATAGCCCTGTTAAAGACATTAAAATCCTCTAAAATTGTGAACTTAGCTTTGGGGTCTGTTTCAACAATGCTATCTATTTTTGCCGATAAAACATTAAAGAATGAAGGGTCACTACTGTTTGGGGAACGGCACACAGTGCGGAAGTAGTAATTGAAAGAAAGGAATCGAAGCTTCAGCCACAGAGTGTGGAACTCGCAGTTGGTGGGATTCAAGTCGGTGAACGGAGTAGAAACAATTGAATGATGGATGAAAGCACAAACACCATCTTTGGGAATGAACGAAGTGTGAAGGGAATAATTGGGAAACTGAAGATATGTGGTGTCTGTAGAAGCGGAAAGTGGAGTTTCGGATAAGAATAGAGCAAGAGGGGAAGTGGACTGAAGAAATTGATGTACAGAATCAATTTTGTGGTTCAAGCCGCGAATGTTAGTGATTGCGATTGTCGATTGAGAGTGCGCTTGAGAATTGTTTCTGTTAGTTGTAGTATTCATGTAGTACTCATGCAGCCTAGCCCTGGAACTTGAGGTGGAGAACCACATAAGGTCCCGATGGCTAGGCGTTGGTACTGACCCGGACGACGGCAGAACCGTCTATCCTGTATAGCTCGCAGGGTCATGGAGGAAAACAAGCCATCACATTACGTTAAGGTGCAGTCTCGTCGTGGGGGACTGAAGAAGTTGACCTCTTTTATCTGTTTGGCAGGGTAGAGCACAACTACGGCCTAGGAAAGCTTCTGATGCGCTCAGTTTTCTAACCTGAGTTAAAATCACCCGTAAGTACGATTACGTCTGAGCTTCGAGTTCCGCCACCGCGCCAGACAAGCTTGCATCAGAGCACTCACGTTGAAGGCCCAATGATTCATTGATTGACAAGGCTTCAAGAACTGAAGATTATTTCGAATTAAATTACTTACAATGCAACGAGCTTTGAAAAGCGGCATAGGACTCAGTATGGTTGGGGGTGGGTGTCTAGGGTTGCGACTGGTAACTCTTCCCTTTCACTTCACGAAATGCTCCCATAAAACCAGGCGTCTCAAATAGCCTCTTCTCAAAAAACCATATATATATACCATTCAGAGTATGTTACTAAACATGGGTGAACTCGCCTTTGTTGTAAATAAGTGAAATAAAAACGTACCAATATAGCAAGTAGCTAGCACAGGGCAAGGTACAAGGTACAAAATTTGACAAATCATCATCGTACAGGGAGATACAGTAAGGCGAACTTCGCTGATTGCTACCAAGCTCACAATGTACATAAATTAAGTGATAAAGTACAAGATAGAGAGGAATTGAGTCTAAATGGAGAGAGGAACGTGAACCTCTATTGCCAAAACACAGAGTACACAGTTCAAACTAGCATGAAAGTCTTCAAGCATTCTAGCCTGATAAGAAATGACAACTAGAACGCCACTGCTGCCATTTCCTTCAACGTCTCCAACAAACTAGTTGCAGTCTTTTGGACCCCAGCCTGGTAGGCGGGAGACACCTATTTTACCTAATCGCTCTGTGCATTATTCAAACTTCGTGTCCACGTCATCTGTTGACCTACATGTGGTTTCTTCCAGCCTGGAGCCGCAACTGCGAAATAAGACCCGGTGAGGTAGACGATGGTTGGGCATGCACAATACGTGTCCTTACCATCGAAGCTGACCAATATGAATTCGATGGGACAATGAATTCTCCATCAAATCATCACCAAATACGTGACTTACCCCCGAGTTGCTTACACGCTCGCTTCATCCAACCCGCGACAAA